CCCGAGATTTTTAGCCTCTTGTCCTTTCTTTCTTACGACGTTTCATTTTCATTTTTTCTTAATGGTATTTAATGTTAATATCTGAGTCCTTGTCTGCAGCTTTGCTGGAGGTGAGAGTGCTGAATAAAAAATATTTTAAAATTGAAAATGTTATTTGTTTTACTTCTGAGAGGATTCTTGTATTCAAAAGAAAAATTTTCAGTTTGTGCTGAAATAGTTTTACATAGGGCAAGAGTATTTTCTTTAAAGTTAACTTTTTGGTTATGAAATAAACTAAAGACCTTGTCTTTCAGTTTGTAGTTATAACTTTGTAAATAAATTGCATGAATGAAAGGGCTTTGCTGAATGAAAATATATTGTAAAGTTCAGTTTATGAATATTTTTGTTCCTCACATTTCAACTTATTGTGTAACAGAATATATGGGCTTTTTATACAGATCTTCCTGAAATAATTACATTAAACTAGCATATATCATGTTGTGTAAATGAGGAAATGCTACAGGGAAGTGGATTACTGCTGTGAGCTTCACTTAAGGTGCTCCTGTCAAGAAACCTGTGAAAACAGTTATTAGATCCTTCTGTGACTGAGTCAGTGTTATGAGACTTGGCGCCTTTAAGCTTTAGTTATTTGTATAGAACTAGTAACCTGCTGTTTTATGCATGTAATATTTTCTAATTATCATTTTTTTTACCTTAGTAGGTGTGGTAACAATAGAAAGTTTTAAGACCAAGCCCCAAAAGGCATCTTGACATTAGCATGTCTTTACAATGAATTTAGATTTATAATCTTGTTGTAAAGAAGCATTCCTCCTGTTTCATTTGAAGGAGGAAGATGTGGTTGTGTGGGAATTCTTCGAAGGTTTCTGTTACTGTGAGAAGTGACTCTTCACATAATAGCTTGTTATATATTGTTTTCACATATAACTCATTTATGATTTTAACCTTTAAGGGTTATTCATTAAGTCTTGCTCGCTTTTCCAGGAAATGAGTTACTTGTCTTTTTGGCAGACCAAAAGGAACCATACTTCAAGCCCAGAGTTAGGTTATCAATGAAGTAAGTATTCACTGATGAAACAATGCAATAATTTTTGTTGAAAGTGCATCTTTGCCATCAGTGGGAACATGACCAGAAGAACAGCTTCTGTTGTTTTTGCCTGTTCAGTTATAGAATTCAGCTGCTCTTTCAAGTTTCTTGATTCGTTTTCCAATACCTTTTGTTTTGCTTTGTTTAGATTTCTGGGTCATAAGAGAGAATTTGTGGAGAGGAGTTTGATCATTCATGCAATTAACTAGTAGCCATGCAGTTGACTTAGTTTCAAAGCTTGATTTCTTAGTAAACTCACCTGATGCCTATATCCTAGGATAAACCTTCTTGTAAAGTTGCATTAGCCTCTGTTCTGAGATGTATTTTTCAGGGAAATTTTTGTAGTTTCTGTAGTTACTTTTGGGGTACAGCCAATAATTGCTTTAGAAATTGATGTGGAAAATGGCATTGTAGCATTTCTGAATAGAGAGCTGTACCATTCTAAAGTTTAAGTGCAGTTAAAAGAGCATAGATTTTAAATTTAAAAACCTGTGTGTGTATGCATGCGTGCGGTATGTATAGGGTTACTTTTGCATAAACCATTATAGGGTTACTTTTGCATAAAATAGTGCATAAATTGATGATTGGGAAGCAAAGACAAGCCTCTGAAAACACAAACCCTTTCATTTTTCACTCATGTGTTTGTGTGGTTGTTTGCAATGTTTTAATTTTAGACCTCCAAGCATTATAATAACCAGTGTAGTTCCTGGAGATTATGATGGTGATTCACAAATGGATGTCCTCCTAACTACCCGGACTCAAAATCATGGCAAAGATGAACTTTCAGTGTTTATTTTCTGGGGGCACAACCAAACATTAGGTAAGTTGTTGAGATTGCTTATAAATAAGTTTATTGGACTTTATTAAAACTAATTTTCAAAAAGTTATAACTCCTTTGACTCTGCTGATTCTTTCTGTATCATGCAGTAGACATAACCAAGTGATATTACAAACTAGGAGTAGCTTCCTAACCAATGAGCTGCTGTTTGTGGCTTCATCATTATGTTCATGTCAACATCCTTGAAAATTTTCAAGACTTTAGGAAAAAAAATACCTTCCATTATCATGCAAGGTATAAACAATTCTTTCTTAGGGTAGAGGCGCTGATTGTGTGACTTTCTGAAGTCTTTTCTGTTTTCTATTGACTTTGCTAGGAAAAGGCTTCAGGCAGGATTTAGAGTTTGAAGGACAGAAAAGATCCTCTTAATTCTTAAAAACTGTTCAGTAACAGTCATTATTATAAACAACAATGGTATAAATTATTTATAGGTAAGGCAAGTGGTGGATAGCCTTAGATACCATTACTTGGGTTTTATTCAGATGTGAAGCAAGCAGCCTAGGAAATGCATTGGATCAGGTTTTTAAAAAAAAAAAAAAAAAAAAGCTGGGGTATTGGAAAAGATCTATGAAGGATTTAGGTAAAATTACACTCTCTTACCCCTGAATAGAGGAATATTGAGAGGTACAAATTAATATATGGAGTATTTTCAGACTTAAAAAAGAAAGCTTAAAAGGCAGAAAATGGTTGTTTTTTTAGCAAGATTAATGGGAAGTGATGTGGTGCTTGGTTAGATAATGAAAGTGTGACCAGTGAAGTTGAGAGGAAGGCACTAACATACCAATGTGGCAGCTAGAAAGAAGACAAACTTATATATAAGAGGTGAAGGAAGCTGGGATGATATGGCAAGGAGTTTGGGCCACAAGTAAAAGTGAAGTGCAAGAGGAGATGATCTGATTGCAATTTAAAATTTTCCTGCTTAGGCAGTCTACCTCTAAAGTTATTTTGAGCACACAGTATATATGGTTAGAAATGATCTTTTACAGTGACAAAAATTTCATGTGCAATATTGCAAAAGTATTCTGAGAGTGTCTTCTTCCCAGGTAGTTCCTGCTTCTTGTAATATGTCTATTCTACTGCAGCCATGCATGGCAATATTTGTCATTAAGATCAATTTGGAATAATTTATTGTAGTCTTAGGTGTTGGAAAGAGGGAAGAAGCTTCGGAGTTTGAACTGTGACTCACCTTTTCCATTCAGAATTAATAGCTTAAATTTGCACAGCACTGCAGGAAGCCATCTAATTGTTTATACTCAATGGCTGTTGATTTACAATCTTCAAATTAATAGTTGTAAATTAATGTAAGATTTCTATTTAAGCTAAGTATATAAATGTCATAAAATATTGGTAGTTTAATCAAATGAATGTTTTCTGTTTTCAGATTTTGATCATAAAAAAGTGTTAAATAAGACTTTTAATGATGAGCCTCTAATAATGGAGTAAGTATATTCTATCTCTTTAGAGAAAAATGTTTGTGACAGTGACTAAAAGCATCCTGAATAAATATAGTTTAAGATTAAAACCTGAAATACCCCTTATTGTCTTTTATCATATTTTAAGAAGAGGGTGGTTTATAAGTAGAGATGACATCAGTTGATCTAACAAAAGATGAAAGTATTTCAGTCATCTTTACAAATATTGTATATTATACCATCCTGGCATCAGAACAGAATAAGCTTTTGATTTTATTTTTTTAGTTTCAATGCTTATTGTTTTAGACAGGAAAAAAAAGAACTATTTATTTGTGTGTGTGTGCATGCAAATCAAAAATTATTGCCTGTAAACGATTTGTATTGTCATTGTGCTTAGAGTTTACATGCCATGTCAAGTAAGCTGCAATTCTGGTTTGTTGGTTACACTACTAAACCTTTCATCAGTTCTACTGATGGTGAATTTCAAACCTTATTCATCAAAACTCTGTCACTTAGGGTATATGTGAAGAAGAACTGTCTAAGATTCTGGCAGTTGGAGAAAATGAGCTTGTCTCTGTTGGAAGGGTAGAGAACTAAGAGATTTTTTTTTGATCAGCTTTTCATTCTTAAATTTGAAAGAATATTAAAGGAAAATGACAACAGATATTTTTCTTGTTAAGTAGCATAAGCTGATAAACACAACTGAGAAATCAAATACGTAACATAATTAAAGATATTCAAAGAAGATACTGCTAACTCCCCAGACAAGAGCCAGAATTCAAGAAAAGACTGCACAGCTAGAAATTCTTCATTGCTTGGAGAGAAAATGCTAACCAAATATATGGGATGACTTAAGAATGTTATGTTCAGTTTTGATTCCTCTAATAAAGAAAGTTGTACTGAAATTGTTTTGTATTTTCAGCTTCAATGGTGACTTGATTCCTGACATCTTTGGTGTCACAACCGATTCAAATAAACCACAGATATTGATAGGCGGGTAAGCAAAGGATTTGTTTATTATTGGGAATTTCAATAACTTACTGATTCTCTGTGCATCCACTTATATTGTTAATGTAAAGGCAAGTTTGTTCTATTGTTTAAAAGGAATTGGAACTGTGCAAGCACATGATTTTTTTTTCCTCCCTTTTTCTATTTATGTCCTTAAACACTGTGTGACACTGCATCTAACTTCTGCAGCATTCTTTTATAGAGATTTAAAAATTCATGACAGCTGAGAAAAAAAAAAAAAACCTACTATTTGATATGAGAAATCTCCTTCTTGGAGAAGTTATCGTTGCCTCTGTTATTACTTCATGGTATTTATTATTACAATCTTTATTTGACGTTCTTTTATGCCAAGCGTTGTACAAAAATGTAAAACATCTTTTAAGTGAAGTCTGTAGGATTTCAACTACATTCAGTCTAACAGGAAGTGTGAGACTGATGACTGGAAAAGATAAGTACTAGAACAGATCTTCCAGTATGAGGGATGGGAAACGAGAAATATTTAAAGCGAGTATTGAGCAAACTTACAAATAATTTCAATTTTCGCTTATCTGCGAAATAAGTTGTAACAGGAAAGCTAGATAATATGAAAAAGCAAAAGCATGGAATGTCCAAAACGTAAGCAAAGTGACATATAAAGGAGAATATTAGTATGCTAGTGAGAGATTTGTAAAGAGTTTGGGTAAAAATTTGGGGACAACTTGAAGTTTGCATGCAAATGATATTATCTGCATCACATACTTTGTTTAAGGAGTGGCTTCTTCAGCAGCTGCAAGTAGACTGGAGTGTTTTGTGACCTGATTGCTTGCAGTAATAGTGGACTGGATTTTGTTATTAATTAAAATTCCAAATAGCCTTGGGGTGTCTGGTATGGGATTAGTTAGTAAATGCTGGGATTAAAAACATATATATATATATATATATACACACACTTTTTTAATGGGATAATGGTTATAATGGTTAGTAAGAACTGTACAATTACTTTTGTTTAACTACTTTGAGTATGGGTACTGAAATCAAAGCACAACAAAAGAATGGATGTCTATCCGCTCAGAAGGACTAATCTCTAAAATCAAACCAAAAATGCAGTGAAAGTGATCTCTAAAGGACAATTTCTTTAGAGAAGGATTTAGAAAGTGATTTCTAAAGGACAGTTCACATGCTATTCAGTTTTCCTGTTTTGGGGACTTGCAATCTGCCAAAAAGAAAGCTTTCATTGTGATTGCTGTTATGCCTATGTCATCAAAGATATATTTTGGTATGATTCTGAACTAGTGAACATTTTCTTCTTGAATAGAATGATGCTTTGTGTACATGTCTAAAAATACGTCTCTGTATAGTTTTTTCTGTCTTGCCAAACTGAACTTGGAATACGCTAACCTTCCCATTTTTGTAAGGGAGAACTGTATTGATAATGCTGAGGTTGAGGGCATCATTGAAAATGGAAAGAAATATTCAAAGAAGGATGCTTGAACAGGAAATTATTCACCAGTTGAAAGGGTTTGTCTCTCAGTTGGCATAAATGTGCTCAGAAGTAAGCACACACACACACGCAAACTCTTCTGTATTTCACACTTTTTTTACACCCTTTTTCTGTATTTCTCTGTATCTCTCTGAAAAATGCACTTTTCATGCATGTTGAAAGTGTATCAGGGCGCCTGTGTACTTTATTACCTAATTTCTCTTGATAGCCAAATAATTAATCTCACCAGGCAGAGTGCTTTAAAATTATGTTTCCCATAAAATGGGAGTGTTAACACATTAGACCTACTAGCTTACTTTTATTGTTAGAATTTCAACCAAATTAGTATGGTCACTGCCTCTTTCTTTGCTTTACCAAAGCTTTATTAGTATTATTCTAGGGTTTGCCTTTTCTTTTTTCTTTTTTTTCCCCCCCCCCGTCTTACCTTTTGTTTTCAGAAGAAATTCTGCTGGGAGCTTGCTGTATGAAAATTCTAACAAACTAAAGAAACAGAAGCAGCATCAACTTGGGGGAAAATAGTAATTTTTTTGCTAATGGAGAACATATAACAGGCAAAATACAATAATGTGTCAATATTAAGAACTGTGTACATGACCAGTCAAAATAACTTTTATGATTTAATCTCATAAAATGCTGGAATTTGTATTACATACTATGTTTAGTTTTAAAAAGAGATTTAGTGCAACTCATACCAGTATTATGAGATAGGCATTATAGCATAATGTTCAAAGGTTGCTTGATTTCAGTCAACAGTTTTTTTTTGCTTTTGTAACTAACCTATTAGGTTTTTTTTTTTTATGTTAGATGTTTTTAGCTAGTTATTGAACAATCAAGCTGTGTTTTCTCAGTGGTTTTTATTCCTATAGGGCAAATTTAAAAAAGAAAGAATTCTAGTAGGAGTCCTCAGAAAGGAGGAGATGTTCAAAAGATTCAGTAATGGGAACACAATTGCAAGTTGTATAATAGTTGTAAACAAAGAATACCAGATTTTTAGTTTTCTGATAATATGAAATCTGTCTTATGACTTCCTGAACCTTTTTCCGATGACGAAATAATTAGAAAAAACTGAAATAACCTACATGTTATTTTACAGGATTGTACTTTAAATTAACTCTTTCCTGTTTAATAATTTTCTGTGTAAAATGATTCTGGAGAAGTTTGAGTCCTTTCTAGAAGTCTTAGTTCTCTGGGGCTTTTATATTACACCTGAGAACATTGTCTTATTGCCTAGAATCTCATTTGTTAACAATTTCATGTGGAAGCTTGTAATTTCATGTGTTTCAGGAGAAACCCAGATGTTGATGTAACAGCTGCTTAAGGTTTATGTAATCAATACTTACGGTTATTTTAAGAGAAAGTGTGTTATGAAGTCTTTGCATTTCCACCTATCTCTTTTTCCTGCAGTTGTTTTAAGAGTTCCATTAGTACTGGAGAAGTCAATCAGATGATCACTGTGTTTCTATGACAACAGAGCTTTGGTCTCCTAGCTTGCAGCTCCATGGTCCTTAAGAAGTGATAATTTCAGGCTTTTTCATTGTGTCTTTTTCAGTCATTCAGTATCAGTTGGATGGAGCGAATTTAAAGGAAAAAAAAAAAAAAAACTATAACTGGATCTTTTCCTTTACAGTTGATCTTTCTTAACAAGGATATTTTCCTTCTGTCATTTTTTTTTTTAAATGTTTATTCCTTTAGCTGAGAACGGTGATGGGGACTGTTAGAAAAGCAGTCCAGCTAGCTGTTAGAGTAAGAACAGCTCTCACAAGGCTCAGCATGCCAGGTCTCTGGTAACTGACTAGAAATGCATTCTTTAAACTTTTAAACATTTTTCAGCATTAATTATACCATCATTCTGCCCATATATTGCTAAATAAATGCAGCTATTTTCCAGAGAAATTGCTGAAGCATAGTTGTGTTTAACCCAAATAATGCCCAGAAAGTACTGTATTAGAAAGGGATGTATAACATAATCATGTAATAAAGGCATCGAAGTGCTAGATACCAGCTGACAAACATGGGAGGTGTACATTTGTGTTTACTTATGACTAAACCCATGATTACAAGCAACTAAATGTCAGGCATACTTGATGTGTTACTGCTTTGGTAATTATGACCAGTAATTAGCATTGCATCATATTTTTGGAAGCAATGCTTTTGCACATTCCATACATATTTCTGAGGTTCAAATAAAAATACCATATACAGCTTTTGGTTAGAGGCATGATAGCATTTCACTGTGTTTTTAAATTAAATTCTCAAAATTTGATAAGTATTTATTAAGACTTTCCATATAGCTGATAAATATGTAACTCTTACTACTTTTTTTTTTTTTAATAAAAACTGAACCTAACATAATAGGTTGTGATTTGAGTGAACTTACTGAAAGATATATAGCAAAAGGTTTCCATATTCTCTGTTCTTACTATAGAGGTTTGTAGAACATTATGATCATCTCTGAAATATTACAGTAAATACTATGCTTGTAACACTACTTTGCAACAGTAATAATTCCTTTAATAATAGATGTAATTTTAAACAGTTTTTAAATTTTCAGGAAAACATGGTAAGGCTTGCTAATTTTTATGGATTTCTAGGCAGAGCCTCTAGCTGGATGCAGGAGCGTATGTAAAAGTTGTCATGTGTTTGTGAATCACATAGTTTATAGTCTGATGCGATAGGGGCTTTCTGTTTGTGTAAAATCCATCAGCTGCTTTATACAGAATGTGATTATGTCCTTTTTTTTCATCTTTATTAATCTTTAAGTAGATTTTTTAAAAAAAAAAAAAAGTAGAAACAAACCTGCTTGGGCAGAAAGGCAGGGTCAATATTTGAACACTTACAGTTGAAGTCCAGGCACTAAATTTTGCTTCCTTGGTGGTAATACTTTCTTGTGAACAAAATGTCGCTTTGGACAGTTGACAGAAACCAGCTGAAGGCCCTTTCGTTTTGTCCCTTTCTTAATAGATATATGTTTTCATCATTAACATTCCTTAAGCATTGATGAGATGCATTGCTTTTTCTTTCTGTCTTGTAGGAACTTTTCATGGCATCCTGCATTGGACACTCCCAATAAAATGTACATACCGCACTCTCATGCATTTATAGATCTGAATAATGACTTTACTGCTGGTAAGCCATAAACCTTTTATACTCAACCACTATAATAGTACTGGTCATGTGAGGTTTTATTTGCTTTATTTTGTTTTGTTTTTACTTTTTTTTTGGTCTAGAGTATCTCCAGTCTACTAAATACCTTCCTAACTATACTTGGGACAAATATATAAAGTAATGCATTACTTCTAATTGCCTTCTGTATTTTAACCAACTTCAGTATGATAGGCTTTTCAAAAATTGATTCTACATTGTCATGTTCATTAATTAAGCGATTTTACTACTTTGAGCTTTAATCAATACCTACAGTTTGAATTGCTCTCAGTTTTTTTTTTTGAAAATAATTGCTATTGAATAAGCTAATAAAGTCTTATACTTTGTGCTGTTAATCAAAACTATTGTTTGTTCTGAATAATTTCCTGTTCACCCTCAGAGCTGCATTTCCCATTTTTCAATGACATTATACTGTAGTATTCGGACTTTGCAGCAGAAGCTGCCACATTTTCTTCATCTTGATTCTGAATATTGATGATTCATTCAAGAGGGTTTTTACAGCAGTGGACTTCTATTCCTACAACAGTGGAATTTATAAGTCAGTGTTTTACAAACACAAGTACAGGAAACACATTTTCTCATGGTAGATAAACTGTATTCTTTTATTGATGTAACATGCAATGCAATTTAGCCTGGGTTACCATAGTGACCATATTTATCCCTTGTATACAAAAGCATATTTAAATATTATGCTAAAATTTTTTCTTCATGCAGTAAATAAATTTTGTAGTGCTTTGTCTTCTGCTAGATATTTTACGTTACGTTACAATATACGTTAATTCATATATGGTAATTTTGGAACATTTTTTCATTTGTGGTTGTTTTGTGGATTTTTTTTGTTTCTTTTTTTTCTATTTAGTAGCATGGAATTGAGAGAGAGAAGACTGTAGGCTTATTTAATTCATTTGCTTTTAAATGTTAGGGATTAAGTTGATTTTTCTAGTACATAATCAAACCTTAACTTTTAGTGCTGGCAAATTGCTGCATGAAGCTGTCAAATGGAAATTCAAACTGGAAAATCAAATTGATTATGCTAAGCAATCATATATGTCATGTAATAACTAATTCTAAAACACCTAGCTCCATAATCCTTTGGAATTTTGTTTTAGTGGAATGGGGAGAGCAGATGTGCATTGTATGTGAATAATAGTAAGTTGATCAAGTAGTAGGACCCTTTGGGGAATGGTGCTTAAATCTCTTTATGAGGGATAGTTAATCTACAGTATGTCCAATATGTTCTAGTTAGCGCTGGTATTGTATGGAAATTCCTATATTAAAGTAGTTTCATATATTATAAAAGCTCTCACCACAAACTATGTGAAGATCATGATTTTTATTTGTGTGTAACAGCAAAAATGTAATTGCTCAGACTGAAGTCTGGTGTTTATGTTAGATTGAGATGCTAAGGAAAATTAAGGAAAGCAATACATCCTGAGAAGGAAACTGAAAAAAATATCACCATAAAATTGTTTTCTTAAAATAACCCACCGCTTTCAAGAGCGGAATTAAAGGTTGACTTTTGATGTCATTGTGAAATCTGGACCACCTGTGAGCAAGGGGTATAATGCTGAAAAATAATACCTTATGTGTACATATCATTGATATCTGATATTTCGTGACTGATAGGTGTTGGTACAAGACTACCTAGCTGCCAAACAAAAAGTCACCAATCCTCTGACCCTTTCTGCGCAGTTATCAGCTATAGAAATTGCTCAGCGAGTGCCTCTTTGGGGCGATGTAATGTGTTGGGGAAGAGAACTCATTTTCACTTGGCTTATTAAGTTGATCCAACCCACCATGCTGCTTCAAGATTGCCAGGCTGTTGTAAGCACAGAGGAAAAGTAGACTCTTCTTTCAGCAGCCGCAGTTTTAGCCTGCCTTTAACCAAGCATGAAATTGCAATTTGAGTTTCATTGTTCTTTTTCCAACAAATGTCTGTTTAATTTTCTGTCAGTCTCATGCAATTTGTGTTAGTCTGTACAGAGTTTGGTAAATGACTCATAGAAGTAGTCAGCAGATATTAAAAAAAAAAAAGAGTAATTATGTAGAAATGGTAATATTGTGAATTTGCCAAACAGTACCAAAATAAGGTGCTGGTACTGCTGTTATATGCACACCACCAGCCCTATGTCTAGGATGGGCTTTGAAAAATATAGCTGGATGTTTTTCCTGTGTGTGTTTGTTTTTAATCTGTGTTTCTCCTTAGCGTTGCCGGAGCTGTAAGGCAGCATTGCCCCAGCTAAGGGAGGAGTGTGGTTTTCATTGTTGTTCCTTTGCGCTGTAAGTGGAGGTCTGTAATTTACTGGGTAGTTCTGGCAGAGCTAGTGCAAATGAGAGGATCCTTGTGATTTGGTATTAGCCTCTGCTAAGTTCTGTGAGCAGAACCTCACTGAGGACGGGTCCTGGTCTGCATCAAAGTTATATCGATTAGAAAGGAGGTACTGGTGAGAAAGCAGGATAACACTGCATATTAAAATGCTGTTGTTTAAAAGACTTAATAGCATATTTGATATTGCTGTTTGTTCTTTTGTTTGTTTGTTTCGATCCTGTGGAAAAAGTCAGCATATGCTCATGAGGAATGCTACTATTCATGAATATTAAGTTGTAGTTGTACCTAAATTGGATACACTTGTGGGTTTTTTTTTTTTCTTTCTGAGATTAAAACAACAAACCCATCTTTTACTTTCTTTTTAAGACCATTTTCTAGTATTCTGCAATACTTTGAGGCTCTCTTCTATTCTGTAACAGGTGCAGCCAATTCAGTGATTTTTAGCTAGTCTATTTTTGGCAACTGTGTCATTATAAACAGTTTAGGAGATTTAAAGTATGCTTGACATAAAAAAGAAAAAAAAAATCCTCTCTGGGCTCAGAATATTTTTGCTAGACTAACTCATTTTCAACCTGCCAAGAAATTAAACCCTCGAAACAGTGATTTTAATTGGCATGCTTCTCCTACTCTGGGTGAAATGAAGTTGAATTGTTGTGATTTCATTGTATGAGAATATGTTTATAAAGATGCTTTTAATCCGAAGAATGCTTCATGAAAGGCTAACTGTGTAAGGGCTTTATAAATCCCCAAATCCACTAACTAGAACAAAGATGATACTAATCTTTCTTGGAGAGATTTAAACTAGGTTGCTTCAGCTAGTAATGTTGCTGCTGTTTTTAAATAGATCGTCATCATGTAGAAATTGCAATTGCGTATAGTTTTTAATTCATTCAATTTAATTCATTCAATTTTAATAATTTTGAGTTAGCAACTCTACATAATTCATATAAAAATTTGCAAAAGTATGCAGTTATTGAAGAGTGTCTGCGTGCTTTGTGAATGAGGATAAAGTAGATAGAAAGCTCAAGAGTCTAGTGTATAAGTGCTAAGTGTGCATTATCCCAAGCACAGGTACTCCTCAACGTCTGGGCAACCTGTTCCAGTGCTCAATCACTCCAATTGATAAGGCTTATTGTTAAATTTAGGTGGAAGTTATTGTATATTAGTTTCTGCCCATTGCCTCTCATCCTGTCACTGACACCATTGAGAAGAGTTTAACTTCATCTTCTCTGTGCCTTCTCATGAGATATTTATACACATTGAGCCTCCTTCCAAGCCCATCTCAAGGTTAAACAATCCCAGCACCCTTGGCCTTTCTTGATTGTTAGATGTTCTAATCATTTTGCTCTTTCACATTCATGTTCGTGAATATAAGCCATTTACCTGTTCACTAAGTAAAACTTCCAGCAATCAGTAATTTACCTGTTCACTAAGTAAAACTTCCCGGAAAGCAATCAGTATTGATTTAAAAGGTATCAGTGAATTTTTAGTGTTATACAACTGGCATTTATTAAGCAATATAAGAAGTTACAGTAGCATTAATCTATCTCATAGTTATATTTCAGATGCCTGGACTTCAGTAAGCCATGCACTTTGATACGGTGAGGTACCCTGTTAAATGGACGTGCAAGGGTTTTGCATGTGAAGGCATCGCTGAACTTCAGACAGAAATAGTTCTGCTGTCTTTTGTTGGTATATTTGGATTTGGATGTGCATTTAAATGTTGTAGTTATTTTCTTCTTCAGCAGTTAAAGATTTTTCCAGTTTCTTTTGCTTTCATGAAAAGTAGAATATCTCTTTGGATTTTAAAACATGAATTTAACTGTATATTTAAATATGAATCTTAATGTCTTTTTAATACTAAAAGGTATAATGTCTGAAAATGAGTTTTTGTTATTATTCCTTTGGATCAATTTGATATGCCACATCTTCCTGACTTCAGCAATCATTTCAACAAGAAATGATATGTATGTGTAATTGCTGCTTTTTATATCTCTAAATGTTTGAGATAGTGGCCATATTTAAAAATGTTACATATAGTCATATGTTTTTCTTAGCACCTGAATAGTACGGTATTATTCAGGTATCTACTAATTGTTTGCCAAGGGTGTAGACTGGGTACCTGGTCATCAGAGATCAGAAATCTGTCCTATTCCGACATCACTGTGCCTACGTGCACTAAGGTGGGCTGGAAGATGAGGGCATCTTCCTTATTTTTCATAGACATGAGACATATTTAGTAATATGCAATAGAAACTAAAGATGAGTGTGATTAACAGCTAGCTTTAAGAAACAATCTTGAAGCTAGTAATAGCCTGCCTGAATGCCCTTGACTTTAGACGTGTTCTAGAGCACAACAGTCTAGGTGAGCATCTCCAAAGCATGTTCCCCACGTGAGAAGCCGCTCTCAAAAAGTCCAGAAGATTTACATTATGTAACTTAAAACCAGTACTTCAACAAGGTCTATCTGTTTTGGCTGATAGTGAAGGAGGTAAAAAGTAATTTAATTGTTCCAATCCATTCAGTTCAAAGTAAATGCTTGTCTTGTGCTAGTCGAGAGCTAGCGATGGAATAATGTTTGCTTATTAAAACATTATCAAACACTGTTGTTACACTGAAGATTTTGCAGACAAAA